GGGGACTGAACTCGGGTCCTTGTGCTTGCAAGGCAGGCCACCGAACCGCTGAGCTAAATCCCCAGCCCTGTGTCTCTCAGTTTCAGAAACAGATGAACTACACATGATACAGTCAACACAAAATCCTTTCCTGTAAGGCTAATCACGTGCCCAATACCTCACTGTTTACACTGCTGTTTACACCTCCTGCTTACACTGCTCTGCCATCCTAAGAGGCTGGCAATGTGCCCATCTGGCAGATGAAGAAACTAAAGCTTAAAGCATTAAATGCCTTGTCCAGCATCACTCCATGGTGTGGCTGGACTTGGCTGGCAGCAGTGTGCCTCCCAGTGCGCACCCTGAGCCACCTGCTGTCCTGCCGGGGGAACCCATGTGGCCTCCCTGCCACTCGGCCGTCAGGGTGAATCTGTCCATGTTCAGAGAACACCAGACCATGCTGGAATGAAATAGAAGCATGGGGCAGCCCGACGGCTACAGAAGAGACATGTCGGGCTTCAGGGCCAAGACAGCGATGTCTCACTTCCTGTACTTGGGAAGGGACTTTTACTTTCTCCCTTCTTTGCTTTCTGATTCTTTCTGGAACCATCAGCCTAGCTGTTCTTGGTTCCATGTGTGCCTCCCTTTGACTTTATGTCCTTCCCTGCAGCTTCATTCTGACGCCAGCCCTGTTCTACCTTGGTCTGAGGACCACACTGAAGTTCTGCTGGTTCAGCAGCCCTGGGGGGGGTCTCCTAACACCCACTCATCTTCTCATAGTATAAAAACTGGTCACAAACTGATGTGTAAGTGGCTGGAATCACTCAATATAATTCAGCTGATAAAAAAAGCTATGTGCACATTTCCTTGTATGGTTTATCTTATATAAGGCAAGGAGCTTGGGCCAGATGGTCTCTGAGGGACCTTCTGGCTCTGACATATTCTGGCTTTCAGAAAGCTTCCTATAATAGATTATTTGGAATCCAATTTAGAGAAAGGCGCATTCCACACCAGTGCTCTGGGGCTCCTGACACAATAGTGGTAGGCCCCATTATCTTGAAAACAAACAATGCCCAGGCTCCAACAAGGGTCCCCTCTTTCTTGGGCAGTAAATTTCTCTGGCAGGATCTCAGTGCCAAGCTGGAGCCTCTGCCTCTGTGCCTGGCTCACGCTGCCTCATCCGCCAACCCGGACACCAGCACTGTTTATATTAGCACCTCACAGTCTGGACACTTCCCGATTATTTCAGTCCGCAATGGCCCCCCTGAGGACCTGCATTTCCAAGACATAATTGATGGGGGCCAGCTGCCTCACCAGAGCCAGCAAATGACCATTCCTTTGGCTGCTTGGGGAAAACGAGATTCTCCATCCATGGTGAGGGGAACGCAGGTGTGCGAACAGCCAATGCCCCTATGCATTAGACTGAACAGCTGGTTGTGGGGTGAGTTAGAAACGCATCCCACTGTGAGTGTCCCACCACTTGAAAGTGTAGACTGGCAGGCACTGGATTTGTACACTATCAGGGTAGAGAAGAGGCCCAGGAGAGGGAGCAGAAGCGACGGTCCATCACTTCTATCCACCCGAAAAGAGAACTCTGATCTGGACTTTTACTCCCATTTTCCAGGCGGGTTTTACAGAGATCCAGGGTCTTGTGGTGAAGCTGTGCTCTCAGAAGCTGAGGCTCTACTACAAAGCAGGTGATTCTAATCCATACCCAGAGGAGGGAAAGCAAAAAGCTGAGCGTGGTCTTTAAACACCAGCAGGAGCCAGCCTGTGGGCGCCACCTGTGCTCAGAGCCTGTCCACCGCCCACCACTGGTGCCTCTGCCGAAGCTCTCCTCACCCTCCTCGGTGGAAATGACCTGGGAGCTCAGCAGCCGGAGGTCGCACATTCAGGGAGTCCACGCTGCCGCGCGAACACCTCAAACTCCCACACGAGCCACCTCCTCGGTAGGCAGCGTCCTGACGTGTCACCTGTCGGTCCTGCCACCCAGCAGGAGGTAACCACGCAGAATCAGTCAGTTAGGCAAACTGGGTTAGCACGGGCAAGGTTACTCCCAAGGTGACCACGGCAACTCACCACTGTACATGTCAGGGTGGTTTCTTAAGGACGAGTCGTTATAGGGGTGGTCTGCAATAAACAAAAGAGGGTGAGCAAACAGAAGGCCACGAGAGTCACGGAGGCTTACACAGGGAGAGAAGAAACAGAAACGCAAAGCCACAAAACAACCAAGGAGAGCGCCAGCGGCGTTTGGCAAAGGAAGGCTGCGGCACGCTTGGCAAGGGGAGGTGTTCGGTGAAGAAAAGCAACACAAAGCAGCCCCCCAAAGGAACCAAAAGGTTAAATCCTGCAAAAGAAGAAGGGCAAGAATAGAGTAAGTTTCTTTTGGAATGGAAGGGATTAGACTTGCACTTTGCTGGGTCCTATTGTGTTCTGAACAAATGAGACAAAGGACCGGGGCGTCCTGCGGTGCCTTAGGACCAACTTCTCGAAGCCCTCAGTTCCCAGGACTCTGGGCCAGGCCAGGGCTCGGGGCAGCTGAAGAAAAAGCAGTGTTAGCGGGCTCTGGGGCCAAGAGCCTGTGGGAGTGGAAGCTAAGCTGCAGGGGGGCGGATGGGAGAAGAGTCCCTGACAAAGGGAGGGGACAGAGGGACCCTTCGAGTGCCCAGCACCATTTGTCCCCCAAATATGTGGCCGGGTGGGCACCTTGGCGATCTCTGACCCACCTGCGGGGGTGCTGCAGCGAGGCGGGGGACGGGAAGGTTCTGGGTCTAGAATTAGATCTAAGGGGACCTGGGGATGACAGTGAGGTCATGGGCAGTGAAGGCCACACTTCACTCCAGGCAGGCCCTGATGACTATGCTGGCGATCAGAGTGCTGGCACAACGCATTCCTTAAGTGTGGTGGCTTTGGTTCTGGTGTGAGGCTCATTAAAAACCCAGGTCTTTATTCCTCAGTGAAAAGACACTTTGGAATAGGACATGCAAACACGCCAAGGTCTTTTACTCGCCACACCCTCCCCGCTCCAGGGTTGGACTTCTGACAGTACCAACAGGGGGTGGGTGGACAGCCAACCGGAAGCCAAGCAGACAGCCCTGAGCGGCGGTGGGGGTTGGGAGCACAGGTGCTGTGCCAAAACATTTGCATATTTGAAGGCAGATCAAATCCTGTTGGGACTCATTGTGAGTGCCTGCGAGTTCTTTTCTGGGACTGGCACGCACTGCATCCCAAGCTGCTTAACAGCCGGGAGGAGGATTCTCATTATTCAGAACCGCGGGTGTTTGTGCAAGGCCTGCCCCCTGGGGCAATGGGCTTGCGCCCATCTGCAGCTAAAAGCAGGAGCTGACCCTCCATGAAGGGGAAGGCGGCAAGGGGTAGAGGGGGCATTCCCGGCCTCCCCAGCGCCCCACACGTGAAAGGGCCGGGCGCGGGGAGCCTCCTGCTCACAGCCGCCTGGCCAGGGAGACTTCCAGCCTCAGTGAGCAGAAGGGAGCACAGAGCTCAGCTCACGGAGGGACCCGGGACCCAAATGAGGGAGAGGGTCATCTCTGTCGGTCTGACTCCACTGATTCTCTGTGCATCTCCAACAGGTTAAGAAATGACTTTATTTGTTTATGTAGTGCTGGAGATCAAACTCATGCTAGGCAAGTGTTCTACCACTGAGCTGCATCCCTAGCTGTAAAAAAATTATTTTAAATTGCCCAATATTTGCCATAGTTTTTTGGTACCGGGGATCAAACTTGGGTTCTTGTGCTTGCGAGGCAGGTGCCAGAACCAGTGAGCTAAACCGCCCGCCCTATATTTGCCATTTTATATCTTTTCCTCTGTCCTTTAATGCAGTTAATAAAAAACTGTGAAGGGCAAACTTCGGGCAGACTGCTTCACCTCCCACCCCCAGGTCTGGTTCTGAGGTAGAAGAAAAAGCTCATGTCCTTTCCAGACAGGAAAGTCAAGAGAGCCCAACTGTGCTATTTTAAGCAACTGCCCAATTCTGGGCTGGCTCCACTGCTCAGAACCTGCTTCCAGCCAAAGCTGTCCTGGGAGAACTCCAGGAAGCTGGCGGGGTTTGGTTCCAGGCACCTAGAGGGTTTCCCATTCTTTGGAGCTTTCAGTGGAAGAGGGGGCCCAGAAATGAGGCAGAAGCGAACATCCTTCACATCCACTGTGTGAGACAAGGGAATATCTGGAAAGTTCAATTTCTAAATGTTGCTTAAATTCCCATGTGTTTAATTGTACAGAGAGGAAGCACATTCTTCACCTCCATCTCCAAGCCAGGATGGCAGAAGGTCCCCTGACTTGGCCAGGAGCAGCAGGCTGATTTCTAGCCCCACCCTGGGCACGGAGAAGGTGGTAATGTGGGACTGATCGGGGTCACTTAGTGGAGACTCCCGCTCCTCCCACTGGCTCCTCCTCACTGCTGGGACTGTCCTGGCTACTGAGGCCACTCCGGTCCTGGATAGACCATGCTGTGCCCCCAGCTCAGCCAGCTGGCTGGCAGCACCGGGGCACCAAGAAGAGATGCTGTAGACAGACCCAGCTCTCTTCTCAGGGGCCTCAGAAATAAGAAAGGCAGGGTGGGGGGCAAGCAGGGTGGAGTGGGGTCACATGGGGTCACTGCTGGGGTCTGGCGACCCCAAGGAATGTCGCACAACAGCAGCCTACACCCCTGGGAACGGAGTGTGGGAACATCTCAGAGGCAGGAGGCAGGTGACTGGGAAGGGAAGCGCAGTTCAAAGAAAGAAGAATAGAGAGAGGGAAAAGGAAACAAAGAGGAAGAACAGAGAGGAAGAAAATGGAAAAGAAAAACTGAAATAAGGAGGAAAAACCTTCATGAGAAGCAGAACTTAAGAGCAAGCTGCTTCCTTATGGGTCCCCCCACCATCACGGGGAGGGACGGGGCTTCGCTGACCTTCCATGCGCCTGTCCTGTCACCAGCAGGAAGTGACGAGGAGAGAAGAGAACGAAGGACTCAAGCCCCTGCCCTTGGCCTGCCCTCCCTCATGTCCGCGCCACCCACAGCACCACCAGGTCCAGAGCAGGAGTCAGACAGAGTGAGGCTCCTTTTCTACCCAAGGTGCGGTGTCTCCCCACGCTGAGAGCCAGCGGGGACGACTGTGAACATCCTGAGCAGGCTGAGGATTTGTTTATTCCAGTACTGAGGATCAAACCCCAGGTGCTCTCCCACTGAGCCATCCCGACAGCCCTTCGACAATTTTTTTTAGAAAATTTGAAATAAAGCCTCCTTAAGTTGCCAGGCTGGACTCAAACTTGCCATCGTCCTGCATCAGCCTCCCACACAGCTGAGATTACAGGTGTGCAGCAAGCTGAGGACTTCGAAGCCAAAGCTGCAGGCTGGCTTGTCCTTGAATTTCTCACCAGACTTCCCTCATGGATCCTTATCAACACTATACAGGGGCAGGAAATGTAACCTGCTTTTGCATCAGAGAAAATCAGGGAATTAAAAACTATAACAAACCAAGCACGAATGTACAACTTCTAAACAGCGATTCCACACGGTTCAGCAGATACCTATTACAGAATCAAATAAAATTTATTTTATTTATTATGCTCTGGCTTTCCTCTAGAAATAAAGACAACCAAGCATTAACTAGAAATAAAAGAAATAAGCTAAATGTGGGATGAGGACGTCCGATGACCGCTTAAAGCAGTGGTTCTCCGAGTCTGCGGAGCACAGCAGAGGTCTGGCCTTGTAGTAGTGTGCTCTGATTCCCACCCAAGCTTGAGAGGCACCGGCCGAGCGCAGCGCCAAGTTCCACTCAAGGCTTTAGAATCACGCGCCACTGCTGACAGCTCAGCGAGGGGAAGCATTTCTAGGTGAGCCCTGGGGACAAGTTTCCCTGCAGACACAGGTAGGCGCCCAGGGCTGCGGGGCCCGGCAGGGCCTGCACTTACTGGTGAGGACCTTGAGGGTGAAGGGATTCTTCTGCTGGATGGTGTGGGTGAAGTGGAAGCGTGCGTTGCAGCTGTAGTCGGTCTGCATGTCCTGCAGCAGCACGTTGGAGAAGTACAGGTCTCCGTGGTGGCCCTGGGACACGCGTTTGTCCTGAGCGATGGGCTCCATGGCTGGAAGGAAGCACAGGAGGATGGGAAGTTGGCAGGAAGGGTCACTGTCAGTGTCCACAACAACAGTGCGCAGGCCCGGGGCGCCGCGCGGTGAGCACTGTGTTCCGATCCTCCCAGTCTAAAGCGGTTTCCTGTTGCCATCATACAGATACGGATCCAGGGTGGACTTCAGATCCGACCCAGCCTGCGCACCACACCCACACAGGAGGAACCCGAGCCGCAAGCCCTGTGCCTGTCACAAAAGATCTCACCGTCTCCAAGGCCAGCAGCGGGCAGAGCACAAGCCCTCGGATGCTGGTCAGATCGGGTGAGCACTGTGAAGGCAGAGGCCGAGGGCTCTCAAGTTGGTGCATTAAATGAAGCCTAACTAGTTGCATTTAATAAAAATGTAGCCACCATCCATTACGGGACACACCTTTATTTTTCCATTAAGCAGAAAAGTCGCTTGCAATCATAACTGTGAGATGGACATCAATCACACCACCAATTTTCAGAGGTCTTCCAGTTTTAGAGTTGTTAAAAATATAAAACTGTGTGCTTTTTAGTCATCCTAGGAGTGACTGAGGCTGAAAACTCCATTAATGATGTTTTTGTCCAGCACTGATAAAATGCAAGAGACCGGGCTCTCAGGCTGTGAGACCTGTTCACACAGTCAAGGCTGCCTCCCCGCTACCTCCTCAGCTCCCTCGGTCACCGGGTCCCACGGCACCGATCAGGGATGCCGACTTCTCCACCCTGGGCTCCGTGCCACGTGCTGATGAATGACGAACAAGAACGTCACTCCTGCCCTCAGCGAACCGTCGGTCTAGCGGAAAGGACGGCAAGTAAACAAGTCACTGCCACACAGAGCAGAGAGCAAAGCGCATCGGGGAGGATGTGACAGGTGGCAGGGGACCAGTCCACGTGGGGCCCTGGGGCTGAATCCTGAAGGCGGCGTCTTATACCAGGCAGAAAAGACAGAGAGGAGCAACGGGGGCTCTCGGGCAGGAGAAGCCGCTGAAGGCAAAGAGCAGAAGCCACACGGGCTGAGGGATGCAGGGCAGGGCGAGAGAAGGTTGACAGGAGCAGAGGCACGGCCAGGAAGGGACGGACACGGAGGAAAGCAGTCTGGAAGGGCTTTAAGCACCTGACTGGGGAGGCCTGTTACGGACCGGGTTTCAGAACCCTGGACAGGTTGGGGGTGGCTGGAGTGGGAATGGAAAGAAATAGAGGGCCGGGAGACCTGCTCCAGAGGTGGCGTGGACACAGCGTGGTGACAAATGCTGAGGTGATGGATGATGGATAGGAGGGTGGGAGGAGGGGCGGAGGAGACAGACAGGTGGACAGGAAGGGAGGGAAGGGAAGCCAGCATAATGTACAGAGAGACCACGCACTGCTGGTTACCACATCACCCGCCATTTTAATTGAAAAGGTGGGAAATTGGGCTGAGAGGTTAAATCAGCCTCAGTGCAAACTGTGCCAGGGCCTCTGAATGTGGCCCCCAGACTCTGCCCCAGACACCCCGTCTCTTCCTCACCCCTCTATCAGACTTCACTCCTCCATGCACCTTCTAGAAGAAGGGGTGGAGCATCCGGACGGACAAACGAGCAAAACAGGGTGCTGGGGTCAACCGCCTTCAGCCGGCCTACAAACAGACATGGCTTCTCCTCATTGTTTTTTGTTTTTTTTTTTTTTCATTTGCGGCTTTTGACCTCCACCCTCACAAAGAGTGCTAAGAGCTTTCTGTGTGTCTGGCCCAGGTCTCTTCACTTCAGCTGGATTAGCTCACTGATCTTTACAGTAATATCCTTAGATAAGTAGGTTGTCAGTCCTGTCTTCCCCAAAGAGGACACTTAGATCCAGAGAGGTTAAGCCACCTGCTGAAGATCACTCAGGAAAAGCAACCTCTACACAAAGCCGTGTTTTCAGCCACATGGACAAGCCATGCCTGTCTCTTCCAAGTCGTGGTCTTCCACCTCTAAGTTCACCCTCCCACCTAGCACTCCCCAGGACTAGACTCTTGACAAAACACCAGGCTCCCAAGACTTACAGCTGCTCATCCAGAAGATAACCGGGGACGGGAGGCCAGGAGGGGGGTTGCACTGCAGCGTCAAGGGGGCACCTTCCTGAACCACAACAGGGTCCAGGTTTTCTTTGGGCCACAGGGGAGATTCTGGGAAGAGACAAGGAGGGTAAAGTGAGGTGAGGGCTGGAGCCACGTCAGCCCTTGTAAGGAAGAAGGACCGAGGCCTTTGTTGGGGTAGATGCCGGTCTCCAAGGCCTCTCCTGTGCCCTCCTCTGGTGCCCAGGGTGGCCGTGACTTGGGGGCCAACTCTGGTCTGCAAGTTTTCTTTCCAGGGGATTTTTTTGAGTGGGAGCAGGGGTAGCCTCCTGCAATGACCATCCACGCCCCTCCCCACCCTCCTGGCCTTACCCCGCTGTACTCACTGGACACCTGCAGGCGGATCTTGTTGGACAGGGCAGTGCCAAATTTGTTGCGGGCGAAGCACTGGTATTCACCCTCATACTCCTCGGGCCGCCCGCCACTGCGGAAGTCGATCACCAGGGTCCCCGACCTCCTCCGCATGGACACCCGCGGGTCCTTGGCGATGTTGAAGAATCTGCTGTTTCGAGTCCAGTGGAAGCTGTGGACCACGGGACGGGGCAACTGTGACCAAGGGCCAGGTCTGGGCTCCATTGCGGTCAGCCCTGTCACTGCCCTCTGTGCCCAGCAGGCAGCCCCCGTGGGGTGGAAGCTGAGGGGAGCAGAGAATGCAGACCCCCTCCCGACTCCTGGGCTCCCCGGGGCAGGCTGGCTTCAGCACGTGGCTCTGGTGGTGGACACTGGGGGATTCTGTCCTTCAAGTGCACGGCTGAGCAGGCAGTGACTCCAGTCAGCTGCTCCTTCTATCTCGGGGCATCCCCAGTGTCCTACTGGGAACGCAAACCCAAATCTGCACTTCACCACCCGAACCCATCAGGATCTGTGCTGCTCCCCACTGGCCCAAGGGAAAGGGGAAGGGCCTGGTCAGGGCCCCGCGCTGCTCCCAGAGGGTGAGGCAGCAGCCACACTGCAGCACCGAGGCAGCTTTAATTTCTTCTTTAGTGCCTCGCTATTTTTATAAGCACACGTCTACAGTAACGACCCCAAGCCATCGTGGGGAGCTGTTACACACGCACGCGATACATCGGAATTCTTTTCTTTCCCGCTCTTTTTTCCCAGCCCTTCCCCTTCCTGAAGGGTGGCTTTTAAAGAGTGGGCAGCCTGATGGCCTGGAGCGATGGTGTGAAGCCCCCGGATGCCTCTCAGGGCCTCGTTCTGTGACTCAGTGCTGCAGTGCTTGCCTGGCAAGCATGAGGAGGCCCTGGGTTCAGAACAAAACAAAACAAAGAACAAGTGCCCTGCTTCTCTTGGGAGAGTGCAGCTAGGGCCTCACACCTTCTGCTGCTCATCATAGAACCGATAGAAGCAGGAGACACAGAGGGGGTTAGAGTCACTGTCCCCACCGAGGAGCCACGGGAAAAGGCCAATCCCACAGGCATCATCACCTGTGGCCCTGGCCCTCCACAGTGAGTCCCACTGGGTGGGGGGAGTCACAGCTGGGCCCGGGGTCACAGCTCTGTGTCAAACCCTTCGTGAAAACCGGAGGCAGAGCAGGGCTGCCACGCAAACCCCGCAGCCTCGCCTGCTGCTCTTCTGTGACACACAGCCTGGCTGCAAGTGTGGGTGGGACCCGCAGCAGCTGCCCTGTCCCAAGGGCTTCTCATCTGGTGGAAGTAAAACTAGGCCCGCGGGGTCACAGGCCGGGTTTCCAGGCAGCTTCTGCCCCTTTCCCGGGGAATGACTGGGAAAGGGGCTTAGAATCTCCGCCTCTCTGCAGGAGGACGTCAGCCCTGCCCCAGAGGGAGGTGGATGGCTGAGCGGAGACAGCGGAGACAGCGTGAGCCAGAGCAGCCAGCAGGGCCTGCAGCGAGCAGACTCTGGGCTCCTGTCTGCGAGCCCCTCATTCGATCCCGATGAGCGGGCGATTAGAGAGCTCAGGCTGAAAAGCTGCAGTTAGCCAGGAAGGGGAACTTCCATAGCTGAGCAGGAAGTGGACAAAGGCAACAGCAGGCTGTGGGCAGAAAGTGAGGCTAGAAGTCAGGACACTCGGTCCCTAGTTCTGGCTTTTCATGGAGAATGCAGAGGAGCCCATCGTTTCCTTATCAAGTAAGCTTCCTGCTTCCTAAATTGTGCCTGCTACCTGGCCGGCTGCCTCATTTGCCTTCCACACCATCAGGCCCAGAGGCAGGGTCTTCACAGGCCCTCTCCACTCACCTGGGGGCCGGATTCCCCTTCGCCTCACACTCGATCAGGATGTTGTCCCGGGGGTCCACGATGTGGTCCTTCACTGACTGCTTGGTGATGGTCGGAGGCTGGGTCACTGCGACAGGAAGCCAGGGGGTGGTCAGGGCCTTGGTACCTGCTGGGTCCTGGCTTGGGGGACAGCTAAAACCATCTTTGGGAGCCACGGCGCATGCAGGCAAGTGGGTCTGAGCAAGTCCCTACTCTAGAGACTCAGTTTCTCAAGCGAGACCTAGGAAAACAGGTGGATGCCAAGGGGCTAGGCAGAGAATCCCTTGAAGAAGTGTCCCTGAGGGCTGGGGATTTAGCTCAGTGGTGCCACTGCCTGCGTCACAAGCTCAAGGACCCGAGTTCAAGCCCCGGTACCAAAAACAAAACAAAAAGAAGTGTCCCTGAGAGGGGCTGAAAGCCAGGCTTCTGTTCTGCCCAGCAGTAGATCCTAACCCTTACCACAGTGCACAGCAGCACTGACAAGAGTGTGTTGGGTGAACACAGGAACAAAAGCAGCTGCCTTTTTGGGACTCAGGGGCCATGGTGGTTCTGAGCCCTGAGCCACACTGTGGTGAGCTAAGAGTCGAGAGAGGCTTCAGTCCCAGAGAGCTTCCCAGGGGCTTAGATCCTCCCCTGGGGTCCCAAACCCCAGGGCTCTCTGCCAGGGCCCATGCCAGCCACCAGAGATGGAGGAGCAGCCAGGGCTTGGTGTGCGCTGGCTTCCATCCAGGGACCCTCCTCTGACTGCCTGCCCGGCAGCGGACGCCTTCAGCTAAGTGAGCTCCGCCCTTCGATGTGATCCCAGGCATCTCCTCACCTGGCCTCTCCTGACCTCTCCCGCCCCCTGCCCTCCCCCCCACCTCAGAGGCACAAGCATGGGACTTACGCTCATTCTGAATGCTTGCTGTTAGTTCCAGTGGGTTAGCAGTGTGGGGAGAAAAGGAGAACATTGTTACTGCATGGCTAACTGCCAGGTGTCCTCACGCCCACCGTGCTGGGCGTGGGGTGAGGTGGCCTTGGGGACAGAACTGTGCCTAGCTTTCTCCACCCAGCTGCAGAGGTCGGGCAAGAGCCCAGCAGGGGCTGGGAGCAGACGTGCTTTATAGAGAAGGTGCTGCCTCCCTTGGAGCCCAAGGCCAAACGGGGAGCCTGGGGATAGAAGAACTCTTGCTGCCTCCTCCTGGCAGAAGTACAGTGCCCTGGGAAAATCCTGCTCATGAAGGAGAGACTGGGGATGTGGCAGCACCTCAGGCTCCCTGCTATATTTTCCACAAAAAGGCGGGTGGCTCAAACCTCCCCCAGCCGTGCCTGGAAGGTGCACCTGCTGGAGTACAGGAGGCCCCTATACAGGTGTGTGTGTGTGTGTGTGTGTGTGTGTGTGTGTGTGTTGCTGGGGATCAAACCCAGGGCCTTGAGCATCCTTGGTAAGTGTTTATCACTGGGCTACACCCAGGCCGAATTCTGCATCTGACCAGTGCCCAGGTGATGCTGAGGCTGGAGGTCCGTGGATGTAGCTTGAATAGCAAGGGTTTGGCTGGTGTGTTCTTGTGGGGAGAAAGTCTCAGCTAGAATGTGTCTGCTGAAAAGGGAACGTGAGCTGCTGAAACCATTCAGAATGTCCTTCCTATGAGGCTCAGAAAGCACTACTGTGTTCGCACTGCACACGGGTGGAACTGGGTACTGCACCAGTGTGTGGGCTGAGGGGGACCGGGGAGCGGAGGCCGCAGGCTTTGATACCTTCAGATCTTCCTTGAGAGTGAGGTGGGGAGGAGGAGGGATGCAGGGGCTCGGAGGGGCCTGGAGGACAGAACAGGAAGGGTCACAGAAGTGGAGGGACAAGGGACAAGAGGGGCGGGGTGAGTGTGGCAGGAATGCGTGCTCCCCATGCACACCGTCAGCAGTTAAGTCCTGAGAGCACAGCCGGTGCAAAGGCTCACGGCGGGCCAGGGCGTGCACCTCCCTTTCCTGCGTGCCCAGGCTGCCTGGGCAGGAAGCAGACGGGAGGGAAACGCTCGGTTTCTGCAGCTCTCCATGGAGCTGCCCACAGCAGCATCCTCATCCGTCTGTGATTTCCCACCAGCGGCCCAGGAAAGGCAATGGTGGGGGAACTGGAAGCCAGTGGGGCTGGCGCGGGGGAGGGAGGAGGACGGCAGGGCCGTTCTCAGGACAGGCAGAGCCGAGTCTTTCTGACCTCCAGCCTGGGCCCCAGCTTCTGCATTTCCAGGTACAGCGGCATCTCTGGGGTCCTCACGCACTGGGAGGCTCTGGCCTCACCCCCGGGAAGCCTGTGGCAGGACTGCTCACCAGATGGGCTCCAAGCTCCCTTCAGAGTGGAAGAGCCCTAGACGTTGTCGGGGGGCTGTCCCTCCAGGGACGGGAGTCACCTGGTTCAGACCCCATGGGAATTTAAGGGCACGTCCAGGGTGGACACCTGCTCTACTCATGCCCAGCCAGCGTGCTTTTTTAGGTACACGGAACTGAATCGCGTGCCTTCATACTAGGCTACATCTCCAGCCCTTTTTAAAATTTTTATATTAGGGCAGGGTCCCACTAAATTGCTAATTAGGTTCAGACTTTCTATCCTCCTGCATCAGCCTCCGGGAGTGCTGGGCTTACGGGAGTGCGCCTCCGTGTCCAGCTCACAGCCCTTTCTACAAAGCTGTCCTTGGCTGGGGAGGTGAGTTACCCGTGGGGGTGGCAGCAATCTGTTCTCCCACGCTCTGGATCATGTAAGCGGGGACACTCTCGGGCAGCTGGAGCTGGGCGGGTGCTGTCCCCACCGCCACACGGCCTATCTGGCTGGGAGCGTCTTGAAAATCTACTTGCCTAAAGGGACAAAGACATCTGTAGCCACCACTGTGCTCCTGAAGAGTTTACTACAGGGACAGAATCTACTCAGAAGACAAGCTGCCACAGGAGAAGACAGTGGGGACAGGCTGTCTAGGGACCAGGAGAGCCGAGCTCCTGCCCGGAGCCACTTCACCTGCCCGTCTCTCCTCTGTGGGACTTGCTGTCTGGTGATGTCGATTAAGTGATGAATTCGATCTTTTTGCTCCCAGGGACCACAAAGCTGTCAGCCCTGGCCTGCCGTGGGTGGACAGGTGCCTCCCCTCGCTGCCTCACTCCTCTGGTTCACGCCCTTCCCTGGGCTATGCCTGTCACAGAGCCCATCCCATAGCTCAGTGTGGGAAGAAGGTAGGAAGTGTTTCCTGCTCCTTGGGCCTCCTCTGTAAGTTCCTAGGACAAAAGTGCTGGGTCCCCTTGGCTTGGGACGGGGGGACGAGGGGCAGCCTCCAGCAGACTTGGTTTTTGGCAAATCCCCTCTGGCTGAAAAGGCAACCTTCTGTGTCTCAAAGGTCACACAGCTCTCCCTGGGGCTGGAGGGGTGGGTGCTAGTGCTGCTTGAATGAGGGATTATGGGGTGGCCCAGGGCAATCTTCCAGGGAGCTGCTGGGCCAACTCCCTAGGGCACAGGCAGTGTCCCTGCCCTCCAGGCACAGAGACGGTCCCCAAAGTGGAAGCAGGAGAAGGATGCCAACAGAGTCACAGCAGCCTCAGGCCAGGGGAGTCAGGAAGGCACATCTTCCCCCAGCGCAGAGGTGGGGAGGTGGGCTTGGCTGATAAAATGTGGGGCAGGGTCTGCAGCCCTGGCTAGGACCTTGGGAAGGGCCTGCCTCGGGCTATCGTGTGTGCAGCCTCTGGAGATGCTGCCATGGGTGGGCGGTACCTCAGGACTCCATCCTGGCAGCCTGGGCCACCTGGAATGCACGGCAGGACTCTGCTGTCCACCAGAGAGGTGGGCCATCGTGTCCCGCTCTGCGCCTCCCTGCTGTCTCATCTGTCAGCTGAGGCGAACACCTGAGTCCCGGTTCCTGGGAGAGTATGTGATGAGCGTACTGAGCTCTCCACCTGGCCTGGGACAGCATGACTTCTGTGGGGTCCGATACACACTGAGAGGAGGCAGGGTTACGAGGGAGCGTGGGGCCTGCTGAGGGCAAACTGGGGTCAAGAGATCTGGGCCCTTTTTGTTGGTCATGTGACCCCAAGCAAGCAAGGGTCTGAGTTTCCTGACACAACAAGGAAGGGTGGCTTCCTTCTGGGCCCTCTGGGGACCCCAGGATGGGGACAGGCTGGGTAGGTTAGGGCACTCTGCTCTGGGCACGTGTGGCCACGTGGGGAGACTGCCTGCTTGGGGCCCTGTCTGTGTCTTTGTCTACACAAGTATACAAATCCAGATTCCTCCCATGCCCCAGACTAGGGATCAGACCCAGGGCCTTCACACTGGACGTTAGCCCTTGCCTTCATTATATTTTGATTTTGAGACAGGGACTTGCTAAGGGGCCCAGGCTGGGCCAGAGCCTGCAGTCCTCCCACATTATCCTCCCCGAGTGCTGGGATTACAGGCCCACACCCATCAGAAATCCACCAAAGCCACAGCATTCTGAGATCACGGCACAGGAGCCCCGCCCCCAGGCCCGGGGATCAGAGTGGCAGGTGAGTGAGTGAGAAGTGGCAGAGGAGAAATGAGCCTTCACCACTTTCTTGATAACCCAATTTCCTCTGCACCCCCACCCCCCGGGACGCGGCCTTAACGCGCTCCTATTAGATTGTCTGCCTGGGACTGTTAATGAGAACTCTCCCAGAGCAGGTTGCACACGGTCGCCAAGGGAACGGTTCCTCACACCTCTCCTCCCTGCAGGCCCTGTGTGTGGACCAGGACACATGCACACGCTGGGGCTGCTGTGCTGGGGAGCAGCGGCCTTGCCTGCCCTGCTCTTGGGTCCAGTTTACAGTCATCACTGCCCTCTGCCAGCCCGGTGCCCACTCCCCTGGGCACTATTATTATGGGTGACTTGGGGCGCTCCGTGGGGACTTCCTGCAGGTTGTTTACTCTGCCGCCCCTTCCCAGACATCTGCCAACCAGGAAGGCCCAGGTCAGCACTGGCACCACACCGGTCCCGGTTCTTCCTGGATGCAGGATGGAGAAGTGTGGCTGCCGATCAGCAGGCCACCCATGAATGCAGCCACACTTTCAACACCTCGCTTTGTGAGTCCGACGGTCAGACCAGAGGAGCAGAACGGCACGGATTTCACGTCCCAACACATCTGTGGGAAAGTTGGTCACAAAAGGAATGCGTGCCTGGTTCTCCCATCTGACGGGCCTTCATGTTAAGGTCTCATTGAACGAGGCCTTCGGCAAACATATTCGCCATCTGAGCCCTCCCAGGCCATCTGTCCTCCCGCTCCCTCCAGCCAGGGGACCGGGGGGCTCAGCTCTGGACACGGCACTAAGACCGGACACCACAAGAGACAGGCAAAGGAGAGTCTCCCCCACGCCTCGCCCTGGAGCTGCCTTCCGGGGAAGTGTCAAGACCACAGAGGGCCAAAGGCAGGGAGCAGAGGGAGGAACGCCAAGGGCCTGCAGAATTCCATCTCCGCCACCCTGGGAAGCCCAAGCATCACCTTGAAGGAGAGCCCTGCCACTTGCAGTGTCAGATTTCCAAAAACAACCGTATGTTAATTCACTGGAAGAAAAGCAGCTCTGAGTCCCAGAATCACTCGCTGCCACCCTCTCCCCAACCTTCCTCGAGCGGTCTCCACTCGCCCCTTCTTTCCCCTTCCCTCCCACCCCTCTCTACCCAAACACTGGAGAGAGGATGGGGCGAGACTCACGATCCATAGGAATCTCGATGGCCCCGCCGAGCTGGAGGAGGAGGAGGAGGAAGGCTGCATGGGCCCAGGGCAGAGGCGGCTGCCTGGCCATCCTCGGCACCAGGCCGCGCTCCCTGCTCCCCTGCTCTTGGGGTCTCGCTGTCTCCAGTCGAGCCACGTGGGCCTTTGGTACGGAGCTCAGCTGCGGAAGGAAACACACAGCAAGTAAGCTTTTCATGAGCTTGTATATGCTCTACCGCTCCCCCAGGGTCTCGGAGGCTCTGGGTCCCCAGGGTTCCCCAGGGTTCCCCTGGGTCACAGAGCGGGGGATGTCCCAGAACAGGGCTTCTAACTTCCACACTGCTCCCTTTTCGGACTGGACAGTTCTGCACTGCAGGGTGTTGTGCAGCATCCTGGTCTCCGCCTACCAGATGCCAGCAGAGTCCACCCCTGCCTCTGACAAAAATGCCTCCAGACATCACCACTTGCGCGGGGAGGGCAGAGCCACCCCCAACTGAGAACTACTGTTGTACAAGGAAGGACAACTCTGCACAGATCAGTTATGAAAGCAAACGCTGGCCTGCAGGCCCCGCATCCAGAGGATGCCACGCACAGAGCAGTGAGCAATGCGACAGCCTCTGCACTCCCTGAGCCACGGCTGAGAGCGCCTGCGACCGAGAGTGCCTGGGCAGACAAGACTGCAAAGATCTCTTCTGACCCCAGGGTGAGGGGACGGGGCACGTGAGCAGACCCGGAAAGCAGGAGGTTTTGCTTTGAGGAGCAATTTCTTTAAATATCTTGTGCAGCTACGCTGTGTGGTCCCCAGCGCTGTCCCTTCGAAGGTAATGGCAGCAGTGAGACAGTGACACCGAAGTGGGCTCTGGGGCCGCCAGGAGCATGACTGCACTTATGGCGGATCAAGCTCCAGCAGTCATCGAGGGGTCTCCACGGAAAAGGGTCTGCAGTGCACGTCTGGTCTCAGGGTGTCCGTCCGTGAGGGCCGCCTCCTCCCCTTGTCCTCCCAAGACAGGAGCAGGAGAGTGGCCTGCAGCAAACATAGCGCTAAACGGCCGAGGGGCCGAGTCAGACAGAGTCTGAAGCCAGGGTTCAGTCTGCTCCTCTGTGTGGCCGAGTCGGAGAGGAAGGCAGAGGCGGAGCACCCAGAGCTGCACAGACCGCTCCCTGTCAGACGGGCCACGCTTCTCCTTCCCTACCGCAACCGGACACCCGCTGCCCACTGCGCATGCCCAGACTCCTGTCCACCCTGACAGAGGCGGGAGAGGACTGTGCACGGCCCTCCTGTGCAGCAAAAGCGGCGCCCTATGCAGGACGCAGGATAGGTGGGGGATTCTGACCCACTCGCCAGCAGTCCCTCCGTGCGCGTCTGGGCTCCATCACCTCCCTTCCCACTGACACCACCCTGGTTTCAGTCACCATCAGTCACACGGCACCTCCCGTGCGGTCTCCCGCCTTCCAGCCCTGTCCCTGGTTCATTCTCCACCCACGACTTTCTGAAGTGCAAATGTCCACGTCCCCTGGCCTAACTCCAGCAGCTCACCCAGGCCGGAGGGTTAATGCCCGGGTCCTGGACCGGCCCTCTCAGGCTCCTCCCACCACAGTCACCTGCTCTCCCGGATGCCCACGCTGTTCTAGCAGGAATCGTGTTGGGCCTGGAGCGTGGGCTTTTACACAGATTTTCCTCTCACAGGGTCTTCCACATTTGCTACTGTCAGTCACGTGCGCTGGTGTGCTCCCCCTGGGCTCCTGCACACCCTCTGCCCTCCCCATGATGGCACACTTTGCACTCTGTATTCATTCCAAGTCCCTTGTTTCCCCCACACAAACGACGCTCTATAAGGGAAGGTGCTGACTCCTTTACGGTTCTGTCCCTAGAATCAAGCATGGTACCAAAGACACAGAAGACCCTCAAAACTATGTGACAGAGAGAAATATGGACTGACGGACAAAAGGAATGATTAAATGAAACTAGAAGCCACTTAAGTGTTTTTAAAACCTTGTTTTTAGGGCCGGGGATTTAGCTCAGCGGTTCGGTGGCCTGCCTTGCAAACGCAAGGACCCGAGTTCAATCCCAAAAAAACAAAAAAACCCTTGTTTTCCTAGAAAACCATTAGGTGGCACAAGAGAGCACCTGCGAGACTGGGCACCATACTAGGACTGTGGTCAGCTGGTGGGGAAAAGCTCCCTACACGTAAGACAGGAAACCACCCAGCTGGATGAGGGTTAGGAGAGCAGACAAACCCCCAGGGAGGGGCCCTGTGGGCAGAAGGCATCGCAGGGTTTGGGTTCTTCCTTCTGACTATGAGTTGTCCTTACGCTGTCTTGCCAAGAGCCCACTCACGCCTCTCTTCGGCTCACCAGGCAGAAAGGCCTCACCCAGGAGGGCAGTGGATGGGTGTTTTGGCTCCACGACCACCGTGGTTCGCTCAGGCCTTGCCAAGCAACCGGAAGCAATGAGGAGGGGTTTTATTTTGAGAATCTTGATGGATCTAGGAAGCCAGAAGCTATTCATTAACCAGAAATACACTGGCAGGAAAAAAAGGCCCAATTGTTTGGGACACGTTCTAACTCACAATTGAACAAGAGAGGAAAGGAACACTGGGATAGTCACATTTAGTTGTCTGGCAATTCTCTCCTCTTTTAGTCTCTGAACTCCAGTTTTTCCAACCAAATCTTAAAAGAGGACAAGAACTGAAAGAGCCACAGTACCACAAAACACCTTACTTTTTGGGTGAAAAAGCAAGAGCCCAAAGAGGGGAAGTAACTCGCTCAGTGTAGTGGCAAAGGTAGAAAAGGGATCTGTGCATTTTGTATCCTAGTGCAGGGCTTTTCCATCTCATGGCCTAATCTTTTGAATACAGTAAAGTCCCAGAGTTTTAAAAGCTACTACTTTGAAAAGAAACATACAGTTTGGCAGTTCCTCAAAAGTCAAACATGAGATTGCCATAGGACCCTGCGCTTCTAACCCTAGGCCGGTGCCCCAAGAAAGTCCCCATGCACACCTGCTCAGGGCCAGAGGCGGAAACAGCCCCAGCGTCCTCGGAGACAAATGGGGAGAACCATTCTGACATGGGTGTGGAGTAGCATGCAGCCACAGAAAGGAGGGACACTGTTACATGCTGCACCATGCATGAACCCCCAAAACTTGCTAGGGAAAGAAGTCATGGGTCAAAAGCCACATACTAAATGATTCCTTAGATACATTTCATATAAGAAACGCCCAGAATGGTGAACATACCTTGGGAATAGAAGTGGTAATGGTGCACTTTTTGAGGGGTGGTACTGGGGATTGAACCCAAGGCGTGCTGACTGAGCTACATGCCCAGCCCCTTTTAAAAATTTATTTTAAGGTGCTAAGCTGCCCCGTTGCCCCAGCTGGGCCTGATCTTGTGACCCTCCTGCTTCAGCCTCCTGGAGTGTGGAGGTTATAGGCATGTGCAACCGGGAGCGCACTTTTTGAACGTACTAAGTGTCCCCGAATTCCACACATTGAAAGGGCTTATTTTATGTGAGTTGCACCTCAATAAAAAGGAAAGATATCACGTTGGCCTCTACTGTGTTTTCACAAAGAAGCGAGGCAGAGGACGGTAAAGGCGGGTTAGTGATCTGGGCCTGCGGGCTCTCGCAGGGCAGTGCGGCCCATGTCATGGCGAGGCCTGTGGTGAGGGAGTTTCCACCCCAGGCAAGGGAAGGAGGGGGCGGGGGTCTAGGGTGGAGTTCAGAGAACCCGCTGCAGCCTGAGGACAGAGACCCAGGTCTGGTCTGGGATGGGGTGGAAGTACACCGGGCAGTGTTGCACTGGGCAGACGCAGGACCTGCTGGCCCTGCTCTGGCTTGAGGCTAGGTTTGAAGCCACTCTCCACCTCTACGGTGGGGGCCCCAGGCAAGGGCTGAAGTTTCGCGTTTGTGCTTCTCCTGCTCATGGGGGCCACTACAGCGCATCTAGCCAGGGGCTGCTGCAGGACTTGCGGCACAGAGCATACAGTGCAGGGGCTCGGGGCGGGAGCCGCTGTTGGGAGCAGATCTGAGCACAGAGACGCCACACATTCTCCCGGCCACCAGCATGACGGCGCCCATCTTGGGAGCTAAGCAGGTACGAGCCAGTGAGGGCAACGGTCTGCTGTCCCAGTTTTCCTTTTGTCTGGGTCCAGATTTGCTTCTTTCCCCAGATGGGGGCCCGGGTGCTGATGCCACAAGCTGTCCCTGGCAGACAGGCACGACGCCCGCGGCTCCTTCCCTCAAGCTGTCGCCTCCAGAGCTCCCGCAGCCTGCTCTGGGCAGGCGGTGCTGGCAGCCACAGCGCATCAGAGGTGACGGAGGACTGGCAGCTCCTCGCCTCCTGCAGCAGAAGCCACCAGTACCTGTTCCTGTCATGGACCGACCCGCACGGTGCCACAGGCGGGTGTAGACCGGAACTCTCCGCTCTCTCGGAGCCTACGCGTCAGAATGGGAGACAGAAAATGAACACCGGCCAGACGATCAGGCGGCGGCACGAAGTGCAAGGAAGAAAACATAATTGGCCTCGCGCATGCTTAGGGCAGCTTCATGGATAAAATTGCCCAAACACAGCAGCAGCCTGGAAGCCCTCCAGGCGGTGAAGGCTAAATTGGCTCTGCCACTCGCATGCCATGACTGAAAAGAAACGAGCTGCTAAGCCGTGAAGACTGGGGAAGCTCGGATGCACATCCCTAAGTGGAAGACGCCAGTCAGAAAAGGCTACAGAAGGCAGGGCTCTGGAAAGGGCACAGCTGGGGAGACCCGAAGAAGACCCGTGGCTGCCAGCAGCTGGGTAGGGAGGGGTGAAACTATCGGGATGAAAATGCTGGTCCTTCCTCTATTCTGTCATGATCCTGAAATTGCTCTGAAAAATAAAGTCTACTTTAAAAAGAAAAAGGAAAGGAGCCACAACAGTGTGACATGATAAAGTAAAGTAAGTGGTTAAGGAAGGCCTTCAGGAGAAGGTTGCATCTGACTAAGTGACAAAATGGCTCAGGAAAGCACCCCAGGCAGGGAGAACAACTTGTGCAAAGGCCCTGTGGCAGGAATCACTCTAGCACATGCAAGGGACTAAAAGAAGCCAGTATGGCCAGAGCTGGGAGGGCACAAGGAGAACAAAAGCAGTCACAGAGAGGAAGGCTAGGTGTGTTCATGGAAGGCTTTGGAGCTTAAGGGAGTTTTAAATGA